CTGAACACCTGTATAAACTGAACACCTTTTTAATCTGAACATTGATATTTGGCAGTAATGTGCCGCTGGTTGACGCACTACATGACGAGCGCCCCCTATGTTGAATTAATATATGGATCTGAACTGCAGAATGAACAGTACGCATTTGGCGACGTACTTTTATTTATTCACATTTATTACAGTACAAACGTCAAAGAATTTCATGGTATTAAATAATGGGAAACAATTCAGCACAAAAAGAAGTGAATTAAAAAAATATTTTTATAATACTAGTATACATGTTTCAGTCGTAAGTTGAACCGACGCACGCTCACAGTGTGTCCACGAAAATTATGTGTGGTTTATTTATATGCGTATAGCGGATGATTTAAAAAAAATAGTACACGTATTTATTGATTTTCAACACCAAGTGACTGCGGCAATTAGCTAGTCGGGGGATACGCATGTTCGTCATAATTTTCGTGGCGAGAAGGGTATATTTTCCAAATTTCATGCATGTCAGCGAAAACCGGGAAATGGGTTCTTTTTTAAAACAAAAAAGTCCGCATTTTAACAAAAGTGAGTTTAAATCAGTGGAAAGAAGTTGATTATGCAGAACACTCATATGTCCTACCTACACCAGCCAAGCCCCCCCCCCCCAGAATCCACACGACCACCTGTTGCAGTAGTGTGGTATGAAATATGAATACTTTACAAGGAATGATTGATTGTTTTCGAGAAAAAAGTTTAAATTGCGCGATGCCGTCTCACCGAACCATGGGTCTTTATGCGTACGTAAAGCACCTTGAATTACGCCCTCAGCCTGGTTTTTGTGTTGAAAAAATACCTCAAGGGCTTTCATTGTGTTGTTTTCAGCGAAGATTGCATGGAAATCTGGAGATATTTTTAGCTAAATCATGTATGCCGTCATGCGCATTTATTAGTTTTTTCAACAGTGGCGGTAAACGCGTTCATGATCGCGTTTTCTGAATCCCGGTCCCTCAACTGTGGAGAGACTGTGTATGAACCATCCCAGGTGGCGTACTCCGCGTGACCTGATAGGTCATAGGCTATTGATCTCATTCTAGAATAGAATAATGCTTTATTACATCCTTAATGAAATCTGACATTTCAGTTTTGGTAATTGCTGTATTAAAGCTTTTGAAAATAAACTACACATACAATACATATATTGATGGGTCAAATCGACCCTCGCAGTCTATTTTTTTCATCTACAAGTTTCGGCAGTAATGGAATGTAATATATGTTACCAATGATCTACCGTATATAATATAATTAATTCCATGCTCGACTTAATATTAAATGGCGGTGGTCGTCGCGCCGCGTCCTGTTCTATATGGGACTCATAGCGACGTATGCAACGCGTGTAAAATACATTGTTTATTTACATGAAATTCGAACGCTCGCTGCGCGACGACCACCTCTCTTTAATCATAGAGTATATGTAAATGATATGCTAATAATGTTCCATTATTCGTAAGACCTCTAACATGACATCACAGTCACGTGGTGTAACCTGTTTGTATTATTTAATATTTTTATTTCCGAAATGTACACGCTACCCGTGATACGTAAATATTTGTGATATCGTGTATATTTCTGAAACTAAAATATAGAATAATACAAACAGGCAACACACGCGTGACTGTACATAATCATTCATTTCTCTAATAATAGAAAAACTACAATAGTGGAGTTCGAACACGTGATTCAAACAAGAAATAGGACATCGGAGCAGCGTCGACTTATAAATATCACAATTTAATGTGCACCCTATATAAACATTATGAAAACGACTTAATATTAACAAAACAAAGTAGAATTTAAGCATTGAAAATAATTTTGGGGAAATTGCAAAATACTGTGCAAAATACTGTTTTCCTTCACCTAGTTGTGTTCTTTTTTAATTTCTTTTTATTTAGGATTTTTACGTGCAGTTTTTTTTTTTTTTTTTCTATTAATGATTTTTTTCTATGCATTTTTTTTCCAATTCTGTCATCACCCCTTATAATAACGATTAAGCTTCATTTTTTGACAGTAATTTTTGTTTTAATTTGTTTTTAATGTCAAATGTCTGTATTTGTGCATTTATTTTATTGTTCCCGGGCATATAATTTTTATTATTTTCCTGTTGGCTGCAATTTAATGAAATAAAATACAAATATTATAATATTGGTTGAGCCAAAAGGACGTTACCCTTCAACCAAGTTGTTCACAAACCAACTATAGTATTTTTGTATGAACAGACGCGAATGGTTTTCGTCTTGTGATGTCGGCAATTAAACGACGCACTCTTTTGAAGCAAACGGGAGCTAGCCGACGAGAACCTTGCAACTACAGACCACGCGTTTTTTCAGTTTAATTCGACAACTGAAATATTTATCCCTTATTCGCGGTCAGGGGCCAAAGAAACATTCAAATATTTTATTTACCCAGTGTGATTTACCTAACTTAAAGGGTCGTATTCGTCGTGCAACGTTTGTTCGATATGGGACGTACACAACGCGTGTAAAATACATTGTTTGTTTACATGAAATTCGAACACGTGCTGCGCGACGGCCACCGCACTTTAACCTCATTACCCTCGCAAACAAAAATACTCACACCTGGGGGTGAATATATCGCCAAAATGGGGTATTATAGATAAAATTGAAAGCCCGGTTTAAAGTGGGCTCGGAAATCAAGTTTTACCCATCAAGTATCCCCAGTAGAAATGCAACTCAACCAAGCGTGCAGTAAATCATAGACGGATACAGGATTTGTTTATGGGGGG